TCTGTGTAGACCTCTCTCTGTGTAGACCTACCTCTCTCTGTGTAGACCTACCTCTCTCTGTGTAGACCTACCTCTCTCTGTGTAGACCTACCTGTCTCTGTGTAGACCTACCTCTGTGTAGACCTACAGTTGAAGTCGGAAGTTTACAGGGGCTTGCGAAACTATTCACCGCCCTTGGCATTTTCCTTTTTTGTTGTCTTACAACCTGGAATTAAAATTGATTTTTTTGGGGGTTTGTATAATTTGATTTACACAACATGCCTACCATTTTGAAGATGCTAAATATTTTTTTGTGTGAAACAAACAACAAATAAGACTAAAAAAACTGAAAACTTGAGCGTGCATAACTATTCACCCCCCCCCCCAAAGTCAATACTTTGTAGAGCCACATTTTGCAGCAATTACAGCTGCAAGTCTCTTGGGGTATGTCTCTATAAGCTTGGCACATCTAGTCACTGGGATCTTTGCCCATTCTTCAAGGCAAAACTGCTCCAGCTCCTTCAAGTTGGATGGGTTCCGCTGGTGTACAGCACTTTTTAAGTCATACCACAGATTCTCAATTGGATTGAGGTCTGGGCTTTGACTAGGCCATTCCAAGACATTTAAATGTTTCCCCTTAAACCACTTGAGTGTTGCTTTAGCAGTATGCTTAGGGTCATTGTCCTGCTGGAAGGTGAACCTCCATGCCACCACCATGCTTCACTGTGGGGATGGTGTTCTCGGGGTGATGAGAGGTGTTGGGTTTGCGCCAGACATAGCGTTTTCCTTGATGGCCAAAAAGTTCAATTTTAGTCTTATCTGACCAGAGTACCTTCTTCCATATGTTTGGGGAGTCTCCCACATGCCTTTTGGCGAACACCAAACGTGTTTGCTTATTTTCTTCTTTAAGCAATGGCTTTATTCTGGCCACTCTTCCATAAAGCCCAGCTCTGTGGAGTGTACGGCTTAAAGTGGTCATATGGACAGATACTCCAATCTCCGCTGTGGAGATTTGCAGCTCCTTCAGGGTTATCTTAGGGTGAATGCACCAACTTGTAGTCGCTCTGGATAAGAGCGTCTGCTAAATGACGTAAATGTGCCCTTGAGCAAGGCACTTAACCCTAATTGCTCCTGTAAGTCGCTCTGGATAAGAGCGTCTGCTAAATGACTAAAATGTAAAAAAATAAATATATATATATCTTTGGTCTCTTTGTTGCCTCTCTGATTAATGCCCTCCTTGCCTGGTCCGTGAGTTTTGGTGGACGGCACTCTCTTGGCAGGTTTGTTGTGGTGCCATATTCTTTCCATGTTTGAATAATGGATTTAATGGTGCTCCGTGGGATGTTCAAAGTTGCAGATATTTTTTTATAACCCAACCCTGATCTGTACTTCTCCACAACTTTGTCCCTGACCTGTTTGGAGAGCTCCTTGGTCTTCATGGTGCCGCTTGCTTGGTGGTGTTGCAGACTCTGGGGCCTTTACAGAACAGGTGTATATATACTGAGATCATGTGACAGATCATGTGACACTTAAATTGCACACAGGTGGACTTTATTTAACTAATTATGTGACTTCTGGAGGTAATTGGTTGCACCAGATCTTATTTAGGGGCTTCATAGCAAGGGGGGTGAATACAAATGCACACACCACTTTTCCGTAAGTTTCACTTCATCAATTTTGACTATTTTATGTATGTCCATTACATGAAATCCGATTAAAAATCCATTTAAATTAAAGGTTTTAATGCAACAAAATAGGAAAAACGCCAAGGGGGATGAATACTTTTGCAAGGCACTGTACATACACCTTAGCCAAATACATTTAAACTCAGTTTTTCACAATTCCTGACATTTAATCCTAGTAAAAATTCCCTGTCTTAGGTCAGTTAGGATCACCACTTTATTTTAAGAATATCAAATGTCAGAATAATAGTAGAGAGAATGATTTATTTCAGCTTTTATTTATTTCATCACATTCCCAGTGGGTCAGAAGTTTACATACACCCAATTAGTATTTGGTAGCATTGCATTGCATTAATTTGGGTAAAACGTTTTGGGTATCCTTCCACAAGCTTCCCACAATAAGTTGGGTGAATTTTGGCCCATTCCTCCTGACAGAGCTGGTGTAACTGAGTCAGGTTTGTAGGCCTCCTTGCTTGCACACGCTTTTTCAGTTCTGCCCACACATTTTCTATAGGATTGAGACCAGTCCCTCCTGCAGCAAAGCACCCCCACAGCATGATGCTGCCACCCCCATTCTTCACGGTTGGGATGGTCAGAGGCTTCTAAAGCCATGACATCATTTTCTGGAATATTCCAAGCTGTTTAAAGGCACAGTCAACTTAGTGTATGTAATCTTCTGACCCATTGGAATTGTGATACAGTGAATTATAAGTGAAATAATCTGTCTGTAAACAATTGTTGGAAAAATTACTTGTGTCATGCACGAAGTAGATGTCCTAACCAACTTGCCAAAACTATAGTTTGTTAACAAGACATTTGTGGAGTGGTTGAAAAACGAGTTTTAATGACTCCAACCTAAGTGTATGTAAACTTCCGACTTCAACTGTACCTTTCTCTGTGTAGACCTACCTCTCTCTGTGTAGACCTTCCTATCTCTGTATAGACCTACCTCTGTGTAGACCTTCCTATCTCTGTATAGACCTACCTCTGTGTAGACCTACCTCTCTCTGTGTAGACCTACCTCTGTATTTGCAGACAGTAAAGTCCGGTTCACAGTACAGGGCCAAGCCGAGATGTACTGGGCTGGCCTGGTTACGCATCCACTATAAATGTTGGAACAGTGTTGGAGAGGACAATGTGATAAGATAATGTCCAAGCCAGCGCAGTGCGATTCGGGTTGGCCCTATAGTGGGAATCAGGTATACAAGATAATTGTTCAGATCAATATTATACTTTTAAAGGATCATAGCAAAGTCCCCAGTGGTCAGCATGCAGCCTGTTAGGGGATCAGAAGTCTCTAAACTAAACCCATTGAGGAGTGTAATACCCAGTAAAGCAGCCCTGTAGAATAATCCACAAAGCTTTATCCTCACACATCATGTCATCAGTACCAGGAATGAAAGTTACGTCTTAAGATTCCACAAGGAGTGGAGAGGCAAATTATGTCATTAGGGCATCCATTGAGGGCAGTGTGCCCTGATTGGGGCACAGGAGTGACGCACAGCTCTGAGCCTAACGATGCAATGTCTAAGGACAGATTTGATAGTATTAATCTGACTCTGTTTCTCAACTGCATAAGGTTTACAGAGCTCAAAAAGTAAGGGTCTGTACACAGCGGGATCTTAAAGGTTTTGTTAAACCTTGGTTGTAGTCATTTCATCCAAACCATTTTAAAATCAGTTCGCTGGATAGACCTATTTAGTGCCGTCCAAAATGTTTTGGCTAGTAGTTTTGGAGAATGTAGCAATGTGGAATTGGATTGTAGGCCTATTAGTGGTGCATTCAAAAGCATGGGAAGAGCGCATGTTGCTCCCCTCATCCACTTTTCATGTTTTATAATGCACCTCTCTATAATCTGTTTCCACTAGCATTGCTACATTCTTTAAAAATGCTAGCCAGAATATTCTGGGTATTGCTTACAACCAGCTAACGGATTTAAATGACTAATAATCTAAAATGTAAAATAAAAGTGATCTAGTTTAAAGATGACACAGGCCTATGCATTAACATGCAGTTGTCCTCCCAAAAAATAAACAAGTGATAGAAACACATTTAATTCAATATAAAATTATTTAAAAAATGAATATTGTATAAAAAATAGTTTTGAGAACTTTGGTTCAGTAATACAACTTAATAAGATAAGCACACAATTCTTCAACACTGAATATTAAGAATACCTTCCCTTTTTTTATATGTTCACGTCTAATACAATAATATAATTGAAATACAGACAAGCGCACTAGTCTGAACAAAAAACCACACAATCAACTGACTAAAGCACAACCACACAAACCTTGAAGACCAGAGCAGGATAGCAGGTCTCCCTTGGCTGGCATGGGGACTAATATGTTATTGTTTTTTTATGATGATGATTTGCTCAAATTGACCTATGGCCAGTCGGTTTCTGCCTTTCTTCCACTGTGTACTGTGTGGCATGAGTCCCTGGGATTGCTTCTGTAATAGACTTGAATACTTAGCCTAGGTCCCGTGTAGCTCAGTTGGTAGAGCATGGCGCTTGCAACGCCAGGGTTGTGGGTTCGTTTCCCACGGGGGGGGGCCAGTATGAAAAAAAAAAATTTTATGCACTCACTAACTGTAGGTCGCTCTGGATAAGAGCGTCTGCTAAATGGTAAAAATGTACCAGTCTGTTTAGCTATTGCAATTACAAGGAGTGGAATGTCAGCTAAAGTGTACACAGGGCCCAGTTTTTCAAAAGTGATCTATCCGGATTTCGCCCATCGGATAGGATTAAATGCATAGATATAGTACGGGAGCCCACATTCAAGTCAATGATTTGTCCATTCGATTCATTCTATTTCTATGCATTTAAAAAAAGTAGGCCCAGGATATAGAATAGCCAACTCTCCCCAAAACCCTATAATGTGCCCTTTCATCCCTTCCTTAAACCTTTGGCACTATCGAGGAAATTACATAGAAATAAATAACAAGAAGATAATTCCTTTATAATAAAAACTGTAATAAATATGAATAAGTTAAATGAATCTTTATAAATATTGTACATCAATTGTACATACTGTGCCTCAGCATTTGCTGTACATGTTGAGTCCATTGTCAGCTTCTAAAACCATCCGTAGAGTGAGTATGATTTTGACGTTATCAGTTAGTGGTGGGATATAATCATCAGTGGAGAGGTTTGAGGTATGACGCGCCTCCTTAATCATCCTGTCAACAACACAAAAGCATTGGTAGGCCCTTTAATTTCATGTACTTTCAATGGGTCCAGGATGACCTCTACAAAAAATGTATCTTAGTTTTGATCCAAGCCATGTCCTCTCACTTCTATTGACTCTCTTCTTAGTGACACAGGAGGTCGGAAGGTCAGACACAGCCACACCTCCGGGCAGAATGCTTCTTCATTGTATGGTACATCAAGTGGTCATCCAGGAAGGACAGGTCATCGTCAAAGGCGACTGGTCGACAGCAAGCGTGAGGCGGCGTTTCCGGCAGCAGCCTCTTGTTTTGGGTGAGGTTGATGAGGATTTTATCGTAGTTCGTCTCCGAGTTCCTGCAAGGCCCGCTGCAGTAGCGGAAGATCATTTCCTCACTGGTTTGATAGCCTAAGCCCAGGTCAGTCACATTCAGGTGGATCTGTTTGAGCAGACAGCCTCGTTCTCTGCCCCCTTTTCCTCTTCCTCGCCCTCCTCCGCTTCGAGACCTCTCCCTCCTCCGTTTCGAGCCCTCTCCCTCCTCCGCTTCGAGACCTCTCTCTCCTCCGCTTCGAGACCTCTCCCTCCTCCAGTCCTCTCCATCCTCTCTACTGTTGGTTGCTCCCTTCCTTCCTTTCCTTCTCTCTCGTTTCCTTCGTATCCTTGAGCCTGTGTCCAGGTGTGATGAGCTCTTCAGTCTACTGATGGTGACTCTGATGAAATCCACCACGTCCTCAAACTGCTCTGGCTGAAGCTCGTCCATGTTATCTGTCAGAGAGAAAAATGAGAAAATTAGAGTCTGAGGTATATACTATGCACATCCTGGAAAGACTGGGTACGTACCTCATCAGCAGCAGTATATACTTTTAAACCTTCTCACTGAAATTGCATATAATTTATGCACATAAAGTGATGAGAAGGGGGAATTCACATGAAACTACAATATTTTGTGTGCCAGTAGGCTACATTATATGTTCTTTGAGATTACCCTACAGAGGTCGTCAAATATTTTGGCAATGGACCAGAATGTTCTGTTTTCTCTTTTCAAAACTGGTTGAATGGCAATTTTAGAAGAAATAGCGAATTGTGCAAAGGGGGGGTCAATATATTTTGACTGCATCTGTACATCAGACAGACAGTAGTGTGATTTTGAGGTATTGATTGGTACTGTCATCTGAACCTAGGTCAGATGATAGGTGCACCTAGCTGATACCTAGCTCTGGTCCAGAATTAGTGTGGGAACGCAGGCCATTCAATTGGTATTTGTAGGTATGTTATTGGGAGTGATCTATTCTAATAGTCTTGCTTCTGAAACAAATAACACTATTAAAATGTTTAGTGCAAAACCAGTCTGACCAAGAGGCCTATTGCAGCCAAATCAGTGACCTATTTACACAGCAAGATCTGATTTAATTCAAGAAATTAGAATTTCTGAACTTACATTTAGTTTCTACAGATAGCTCTTCCCTGTCGGCTGTTTCTGGACTTGTTTTGGTTGAAGATGTGCTGAGATGCATTGGGGGGAACTCCTGGAGACTCTCTGAAGCGCGTGTTCTTTTTGTGGACTGTCGGCTCCCGAGAGGGCTCGTATGCACGCTGCTCAGCAGGACGAAACAGGTGGTAAGGGTATACCATAACTTCATTGTGGACCTTAGTCCAATAGTGGAACCTGCCCTGAGTCAAAGAAACTCCCGTTGGAACATAAATACCGAGTAAACATTTTCCCTAGGCAAATGGCTATCGGGAAATGGCTATCCTCAATTTATATCAGGTCCATGCCGACTTTAAAAAAAATGCTGAATACAAATTAATATGTTTTGGAATTCAATATCTAAAATCGATTGAAAGATTTAACAATTAGGATAATATAGAATTTCAATCCAATTTCACGATGACAACCTCTGTCCTGGATGCCTTCAAATCCATGCGCTGCGACGGGAGCTGGTTTGCCTAAATTCCAGATGTCAGTCAGTCACTTCTTTCTACAAGTTGTCCAATAATAACTGCTTGCCATGAGACTAAAACCTAAAAACTGGTTCATAAGAAAATGTGCCATGCAACAGTAAGACTGAACGTGCCATGATTGTTCGAGAACTAAGAATGGAATCAACTGGTAGCCTATGCGATGTCCAAAGCGAATTATGTGATCCAAAGAAGAAGAAAATGCTTAATCTACACCACAGTTGTTGTTCAGTAAAATTCAATTTCGTGTAAGACTTTCTCAAGGTAGGTAAACCAGTTAGTGTGAAGTAAACTAGCTTCGAGATTACTGTTGGTGGTCCACATTGTTCAGAATTGCGCGCAGCTCCTCCTGGTCTTGGTGTTGAGGGAGTCGGCGGGTGGAGCATATTTATATGGTGGGTTGGGGAGTGCTGACGTCTCGTAATCCGTCCTCTCTAGTGTGCTGCCGTCGGTCACCATCTCTTCATGAGAAATGGGCCAACATACTTTATTGAAGTAGATTGCAGTGGGTGTCTTCAAGAGAAATACTGAAGACTGTAGGCAACTGTATTTATGAATCCCCTCTCAATTGTTGTTAATACGATGTGGTTGCACACATCGGATTAAAGAAGACACTCTTAACTCCAGTTAGTGTAAAGATGCATATTGCAAATTTTCTGGAGATACTATGATTTTGCAGTATAGGCCTATTTTATAGTTGCTTTGAGGTCATGAGCATTTAGGATATATTTCATTTCCATGTGATTACTGTGCATTCATTATACTGTCCTCAGTAGATTACTATTTTATTTTGTATTTAGCCTTTATGTTAACAGAGAAGACATATTGAGACCTACACTACCAGTCAAAAGTTTGAACACACCTACTCTAAAATCGATTGAAAGATTTAACAATTAGGATAATATAGAATTTCAATCCAATTTCACGATGACAACCTCTGTCCTGGATGGCTTCAAATGTGGTCCTCTGTAGCTCAGCTGGTAGAGCACGGCGCTTGTAACGCCAAGGTAGTGGGTTCGATCCCCGGGACCACCCATACACAAAAAAATGTATGCACGCATGACTGTAAGTCGCTTTGGATGAAAGCGTCTGCTAAATGGCATATTATTATTATTCAAGGGTTTTTCTTTATTTTTACTATTTTCTACTTTGTAGAATAATAGTGAAGAAATCAAACTTATGAAATAACACATATGGAATCATGTAGTAACCAAACAAATGTTAAACAAATCAAAATATATTTCATATTTGAGATTCTTCAAAGTAGCCACCCTTTGCCTTGATGACAGCTTTGCACACTCTTGGAATTCTCTCAACCAGCTTCATGAGGTAGTCACCTGGAATGCATTTCAATTAACAGGTGTGCCTTGTTAAAAGTTAATTTGTGGAATTTCTTTCCCTATTAATGTGTTTGAGCCAATCAGTTGTGTTGTGACAAGGTAGGGGTGGTATACAGAAGATAGCCCTATATGGTAAAAGACCAAGTCCATATTATGGCAAGAACAGCTCAAATAAGCAAAGAGAAACGAGAGTCCATCATTACTTTAAGACATGATGGTCAGTCAATACGGAACATTTCAAGAACTTTGAAAGTTTCTTCAAGCGCAGTCGCAAAAACCATCAAGCGCTATGATGAAACTGGCTCTCATGAGGACCGCCACAGGAAAGGAAGACCCAGAGTTACCTTTGCTGCAGAGGATAAGTTCATTAGAGTTAACTGCACCTCAGATTGCAGCCCAAATAAATGCTTCACAGAGTTCAAGTAACAGACACCCGACCTCAACCCAATTGAGATGGTTTGGGATGAGTTGGACTGCAGAGTGAAGGAAAAGCAGCCAACAAGTGCTCAGCATATGTGGGAACTCCTTCAAGACTGTTGGAAAAGCATTCCTCATGAAGCTGGTTGAGAGAATGCCAAGAGTGTGCAAAGCTGTCATCAAGGCAAAGGGTGGTTACTTTGAAGAATCTCAAATATAAAATATATTTTGATTTGTTTAACACTTTGTTGGTTACTACATAAATCCATATGTGTTATTTCATCGTTTTGATGTCTTCACTATTATTCTACAATGTAGAAAATAGTAAAAATAAAGAAAAACCCTTGAATGAGTAGGTGTGTCCAAACCTTTGACTGGGACTGTATATATACATTAAAATACAAAAACACAGTCATGGGAAGCACTAAATAAAATATCACAAATCACCCAGAAAAACAGTTACTCCACAAATAAGGCCCCAACCAATACTTTGAATTGGCCGAACGGCACCCTATGTCATCATGATGTGACATCCATCTTAGACAGACCCAGGACAGCCACAATCATCCATGTTCTCATATGGATAAAGGTCCAAATGAAATGTGAGGTTTACAGTTTTTTGGGGGTTATGATCACTTTATGCTGATAATAAAGGAGCGCGCTCACTCTGTCACACAACAGTTGCTCTAAATGGTGAGAGTGAGGGAGATCATGAACATGACTTAGTCCCTCTACCAAAATGCCTGAGCACAGAAAGACAGGAGCAGTTTCACCCATTTTCCTCACAGAGCCCTAGATGCCTTCAGCTTGGATTTCTCAGCTTTAGGTTTATGTTGGATGAAGCATGTTTAGAAAGGGAAAAGCAATCAACTCTTCAAAGATATGGTCACGTTCCCACAAATGTTTTCCAAGCGAAGGCTTTAGCAACCTATTTCTCGGCCTTCTGAGCTTGAGCTTGAACTCTGAACTGAGCTTGACCAGCAGATACAATTTTCCACCGTGGTAGAAATTGTGGACTTATCGCTTACCTTGGGTTGGTGTCAGATCACTTCACTGGACTGAAAATCCCGCCAAGAATCTGTGTAATTTACACATTTGCCTAAAACACAACCTCATGATGGTTAGGAATGAGAAGAAGACAAATGTCTTAGTCTTTAGTGGAACGTAGTTGAAGCAATGCATTGCTATTGACTTCTTATACAGGGAGTAGTCCTTCCCCAATTTAAAAGAGTTTGACTTGAGAATTTCAGTTCGGTGTGTCGACATTTGGCAGCTCGGAATATTGCTTAAGGCCTTTGCCCCGCCTATAGGAAAATCTGCGGGAAACACTGGATAGAGAGAGAGGAGGGGTGGGAGGAGTGTTAATAAGTAAGCTTATAGGGGAGTCTCCTCCTACACCATATCACGGTCTCCATATACCAGGTCAAAGACCAGAGTGGTCAGGGACTTTGTGTGTCATTGCATGCGTGTCAAGTGTCCTTTTGCCAGATGTCGTTAAACTAGTTTACGGTGAATCTACTGTGTATAACCACCCAGCCGTAAAGCGCACCACTGGTCAATTGAAAAGCCATTTGGACATGGAGCAGGCCAATTGGTCACAGATTATGTTTAGAACAGCATTTTTCCTCCCTCAACATCAGACACTATACAGTACATCAAAATGTGATGGTTTTTGTCAAAGGCTGGGTGCGTCCTAGATGGCACCCTATTCCTTATATAGAGCACTACTTTCAACCAGAGCCCTACAAATGTAGTGCAATATATAGGGAAGAGGGTGCCATTTGGGACACATCCATAATGTCATTGCAATGTCACGTTATGTGTGTTCATCTGATTACAGCAATTTCAAAGGAATTGTAACTGTAACTGTAACTTAGGATCTGATATGATATATTGATGGTTATCGCAACACATGGCTTGATAATGAGAAGATAAGAGTGGTTGAAATGTCAGGGAGATAGTGAAAATAGTTGCAGGATTTAACTGAAAAACAAATGTGGGCATGATTGATGAATGTTTGACATTTAATCGTAGAAATATAATTAATTATTCTATGAATGTAATATCTGGGGTCAGGTTTACATTTCCCCCACTAATTTTTAAGGTTTGGATTGGGAGATTGGAAGCTGATCCTAGATCTGTATGAGGGGAAACTACCCCAGGGCTTTCACTTACCACCGACAGAAAACATCTGCAGTTGGATTCATGTCGTCCAGGATAGAAATTCTAGGCCTATGTTTTCCCCAGATACAGTCCAAAAGAGGCCATACCCGAACCACAACATAAATACCTGATAAAGGAATTCCCCTTTAGAAGAGTCCATCTTGTAAACTCAAAATATTTATGATAAGAAGTTGTGTAACTTGTGTTTTTACAGAGGAATAAACATGTAGATGGGTTGTGTGGAATTAGACATAATTAATAAAATCACATTTCCCACAGAAGGTCTTTGTTTCTAGTCAAACACAACCCTGTCTGTCTGTGTAACTTTAATACAGTATTCTGAGATAGGCCTATCCACATTTAGCTTAATAGTTTAGGGCCCTCAAACTCAACTCTGGACCATGAAGCCAGTTCCACTGCGTTTTATCATCGTTCCCCTCTAATCAGGGACTGATTTAGGCCTGGGACACCAGGTGGGTGCAATTAATTATAAGGTAGAACAAAAAACCAACAGGCTCCGGACCTCGTAGAGTAAGAGTTGAATACCCCTGGTTTGGAGTATATCTCAGCGAGATATCCCAGTGTTGTCATGTTCCACATGTACAATAGGACTTCACAAATGATCAGTGTTTGCCTTTTAGAGTTATGTTCTATTTGTAAAAGTACTATTGGCTTGTACTTGTGTGTAGTCGCATAGTAGTCCATTAAATCAGTTTACTAGTGTTGGCCAGTTTCCAAGGTTTTAAATGCTACCAGCAGCC